GCTATTATTATTTACAAAAGTTGTGAAGAGATAATAGGACAAATAAAATTTTAAGATTACCTGAAAAGTGTCTGATGTACATATACAGAAACCTAAAACTACATACAGGGGAATCTATTGTGTAGAAAATTGAGTTTATTTGGAAATTACAAGTTAATATTATTATTATTATTATTAGCATCACCTTCTGATAATTAAACAAAAATTATGTTGTACATATTACAACTATCTTGCTCACTGTGACACTGTTTTTATGTAGGACCCCATTTTTATGTAGGACCCTTTATTTCTCATAGTAACAAAGAGGCCATTGATTAGCTTACTTTTTTTATTCTATGCTATCAAAATGAAGAGACTAATCTTTATACTACCTTTTTCTTTGCCTCAAAGAAATAGGAAAAAAACCCCAATTTTTATCAATTACGTTTCATTTAGATTATTTTGATAAAAGCACTTTTTCCAAGTTAAAGACATTGCACTCAAGAGAAATGGCAAGAAGAATGCTGGAAACGCTCAATAATATATTAAGCAGCCATTATTAATTTCATAATATGCAAAAGGGACAGTCTGAAGCTTGTCTTCTCAATCAGCTTTGCTCAAATTTTTCATTTTGTTATTTCTTACTCAAATAGACACAGAATCAAAAGCTGTAGGCATATTTAGTCAATCACCACCCAGAGAAGGAACACAGCTGATCTCTGCTTTTGCACAAGACTTTTTTCTTCCCGGCAGCCAACAGTCAAATATACCACTAATCCTGGGCAAACCTCAGTTCCCATAATCTAATGAAAAATTATCACCTACCCATTCAGTCTTAATAAGTGTCATGGTCTCCCACCTTTTGTTGTCACTTCAGCTGCATTTATTCTGAAGTAAATGAATCAAGAGCTCACAAGCAAGAAACAAGAAGATGCTAAATACTTAATTAGTTAATCTGTAACAGATACATAATGGATAAAGAGCTCCATAGATAGTACACTCTATCCATACACCAAAATAAGTAAGAAGTGTATATGCTTACTATTTATTAGGCAAAGACAACAGAAAGTAATCTTCATTATTTTCTCTTTTGATCTGAACACAGCAGGTTTTAGACAGACATAATATTATTTGTTCTTATTGGATTTTGTTCTTTTTTCTTTAGCTGTACTGATTTTTTTTAAACTTGCTTTGCTATGAATAAAATTTTGAAGTTTATAATGAGAGAAATACAAATTAAGGGTCTTTTCTGTTGTTTTTTTTCTTGTTATACCTTTTTCCCCCAGTTGTGATAGGAGTTAGCAATCTCCTTCAGAATCCACAGATTCAAATGATAAAGGCCAGGGATTAAGCACAGCCGATTAACAGTCTGTGTCCTCTTCAATCTAGCATTTCCACTGTAGATAAACCCATATTCAGACTGAAGTTATAATAAACACACTGTCCTCAATATCATCTCCCTAGATGACCTCCTCAAAACTGACATTCAAGTATTCTTGTGGAAAATTACAGTTCATAGTAACTGAAAAAGCAGCCTAGACAATATACACCCAAAAAAAAAAATACTGCAGATCAAGCTAAATGTTTAGAAAGCAACTGGATAAAATGATAGTTTTACTATAAATATTTTATTTGCTTCAGTTCTGAGTAATTTATTATTACTATTGGTGTGATATATAAAATAATTTTCTTAGATCTTATTGTTATTGCTTGTATTGTGTGTCTTTAAAATAACTGCAATAATATTTATACCTATGACCAAAAAATAAAAAATCTCAATGGATCACAGTGGTTGCAATTTTTTTTTCCCCTTACAAAGGCAAAGAAAACAGTGAAAATCTCCAGCTACCTTAGATATTCTGAAACAGGAGGAATGGACACTGTAAGGAAATTCTGATAGTATTCTCCTGCTATCTGACATTTGAAATCCAGAATCTTCTGAGTCTAAAGAAAAGCTAGGATTAATGCAGACACAGACTATGTAACATGTTATCTTCATTTCTTAACCTAGAAGCTCAAACTATTTTAAGGAACTATAGATTTATATGTTATTTAATTTCCTGGTACTTCTTCAGACAAAAGAAGACATTTCAAACTCTTTTATTATAAATAACTAAACTTATCTACCTAGTTGAAGTGACTATATTCTACTCTTATTCCCATTATTTTATTGTGGAATGATTCAAGTAAACCAATTCTGAAATCAGATGGAGAGATATGTGCATTTATGACTCAACCCTTCATTGAAAGTACATGATCAAAATTTGGTTCTCTTTGGCCAAATCACAAAAATAATATAAAACAGGTAATGCAACAAACTGAAAAAAACTAAAAACAATGAAAAAAATCTCCAAACTTGAGCTTAATTTTGATTAGTTATTCACTAGAATTGCTTTGAAGTAAGTGCTGCAAATGACTGCAGTTAATTTATTAGTTGTTGTCTATTCTTTTCTCCAAAGTTAAAAAATAAAAGAAAAAAAAATATTCAAAGTTTCACAATCACAGCATTTATTAGGTTTGGACTATTCCAGCCACTATTTTCTTCTAGAAAACAGTTTCAAAGCTCTTTTAAATCAATCTATACTGAAGAAAGAATTGAAAATGTGAATTTAATTCAAAGTCACTCACTTTGAAATCTTGCTTCAAAAACTAATTTCATGGTCTGTTTCCATAACAACTTAGATTATTTTTGCCAAGTAGGACTCATATAATGAAGCATAACATCTTTAATCAGATTGTAACCACCACTATTTAAAACTGTTTAGAGTGATTTGGAGACACACTAACTTAGAGCATCTGATTTGTAGGTCAGTTCCCATTAAGAATCCTTATGATCAGAAGATCACATATATTCCTCACCAAAAAAGCCTCTGAGATTTATTAATTAGTGATAAGATATACAGCATACAATTAAAACATTGCATACTTAATTTATTCATTCCTAAGCTTCTTGTTTCCCAGTGGAGTCTTTTAAAAATGCTTTTTATACTGTAAAGGAGCAACCTTAACTTCAGCTCATCACTAGCACAAACCTTGTCTTCTCATTATTCAGCTACATATTTTTATGCATGTGTTTATATTTTCATCAGGAGATATAAAAGCAATTTGATACCATTTACATGCTATTTAATGAAAATCTAAAATCAGGAAGAGCAGACCATGCTTTTTTTGCAAAAGTTGACAAAATGGTCTACAGAATGTGAAATTAAATTTATCATTCCTTTCTACTTTAAATCTAACAGCAAATGTCATTAGCTGTTATAGTAAGATGAGTGTTATAGGTTGCTAGTCATTCAGCTCACAATATTTTACTGTTTTTCATTTGATATTAAATATTTTTTTCCTAGACATTCACATATGTTTTCCCATGTCTAATTTCCTGTATCCCCTAATTAATAAATTAAACTTATTATTAGTTTGGACGAACATATTATTTATTAAGATTGGATTCTAAAATAAGGTTGAGTTAGCAGAGCTGATGTTCCTTCAGTGAGAACAAATAAAATCTTAACCCAGAATGCCTTCTCAGGGCAAGCTTACCCCAGTGACTAATTAAAAGATGAAGGCTAAAATCCAGAACATAAACAAATTTGGGAAAAAATTATCTATGTCATTATCCAAGGAGTAAGAAGGAGTCCAATGAGCCTGGTAGAGGGAAAGAACTGAGTTGTAAAGACCTGCTCCTTTGTCTACACACGGGGGCACACACACACACATGCACATGCACACACACTAATGCACACAGAGCCCCCATAAACACAGCTTTCACAGCGCTTTTCCTTTAAGCACCTTGGCAGTATTTACATTTGCAAAGCTCCCAGTATTCCCAAACCTTTATTTTTAGCTTTCAAGTTTTTGCTTCAGCTTTTTTTCAACAGGAAAAGAAAGTGGTATGTTTATTGTTGGCAGACAGCTTGGAAATTCTGAGTAAAGAAGCCAATCAAGGCAGAAGGATTATAATAATCAAAGTACAAAATTTGCATATTTAGAGTATGGTTACTGAGAAATAACAATGCCTTGGTTATGTAAATCAAACCCTCAGCAAAAGTGAAGGGATTTGCATATCTGGGAGAAATCTGTCACGTTATACATTCGTAACTGCATTCTAACAAGCAGAAAGCACTAGCTTTTGGTGGAATATTAAATATAAGTGCTAGTACTATTTTTATTTCTTTCTGAAATAATAGAATTTGCTTGTTTGGGGCCTGATGAAAACAGGCTTTCTTGCCTGTAGGAAGCAATACTATTCAAAACAACCAAAGATACTTTCATCATACAGCTACAATTTTTAAGATTGAGATCATGCAAATGTTCAAAGAGTTCTGTATTACCAATTGTTCTCATCCTTTTTGTCTATAGAAAGTGGCTTAAAGTAGCTCTCTTGAGAAAGTATTGCACAAAACAAATGAAAGTTTAAAGCCACCTCTTCAAATCTGCATAATGAATCACCTTGACTTCATTTTAAATTTAGTGAATGAAGAAAAATAATCTGGACTGAAAAGTTTCACACAGACAAAAATCCTAAAAAAAGCCCCTGCTGACAGAATTACTGCAACAATTTTCTATTATCTATTCAAATCAAGCAGAGTTAACAGTAGGCCCAGAAATTTTGTAATAAAATAAAGAAAAAAAATACGTAAATTCTCCCTAAAAAGTGAGCATATAACAGTATATTTGTACCATTCATGCATGAATTGAAAAATGACTATATTACTTCAGGCTAATATTTTTTTCCCATTTCCTCTCTTGTGAATGATTCTGTCTTTTAGATGTAAGCTTAAGGCTGGCTGACATACCCTGGCCACTACTCGCAATCAAACTGCAGGCTGGTGTTGCATTGAAAAGTAAGAAAATCTATGCAAGCATATTCAATCTACAAAGTATTACTAATAATGCATATTCAGAGACATTATCCATTTCCACAGATAAAACATGGATGAAACTTATCCAATTGAGGACCTGGACACTCCTTATATGTGGAACTGGTGAGCACACCGCATTGTGGGTGTCAGGGTACTTACCATCCTCTGTGGGCACATAGATATTCAAATACAGACAGTCTTCATTTTGATCTTGAACATATGTCACCACAGTATCCAGATTGGCTGTGAACCAGACTGGCAGCATATCGTTGAGCAGTGACCTCTCATCCAGGTACTGTGGGCAGACAGCGGCAAACTGTGTGGCGTTGCGGACACCCGTCCAAGATGACGGTGGCTCCGGGGGCTGAAATCGCCTTTCTCCAGTCGGAGGAGAAGCATAAGGAACACCCAAGTACTGCTCCACTGGACCAAGGATCTCATTAGGCAAAGGTGTTCTTAAACCACGGATTTTGCCATAATTCGTAGTAACAACTGGGTATTGTGCTTGGGCATCAATGAGAGTAAATCTTATAGCCAGTGCAGTTATCCACAGGAGGAAGTTAGAATTCAACATGACACACACTGGTGTGAAGATCAAAGGCAGCCATAGGAGTCCCATTGGTTTCGACATTATTTAAATTAACATCAGCAGGGCTCTTTTTTCCACAGCCAGGAGAAATTATTCAGTCAAGGAAAATGAAAACTAATAAAAAAGTAGTCAAAAGGAGATGAAGTGAGGGAAAATTTATCTTTGTTCAGGAAACAAAAAAACAAAAGCTGATGTGTGGTAGGTGCCTCAGCTGACTGGCTGTAGACAAATCCCAATGTCAGAAGAAACAAGGGAGTGTTTGCCTCTAAGGCCCATCCCAGACTTCAGTGTTGAATTAATCCTGGCAACACACAGCACTTCCCGACAAGTAGAGTAGTGAGAGATCCACAGTTATTCCACTGCCCTAGTGAAATGGCTCCTTTCAGTGAAGTCCAGCCCACTCAGTCAGCCTGCAGCCAAGAGAAAACAAACAATTCAACAGACAAATTTATGTTGGCATAAACATTAAACAAAAACAAACAAACAAACAAAAGTGCCAAAAAATTGTATTCACATACTACTTCCATCCTCAGGCCCTCAATGTTTTATAAACTTTAGACATCATGGTTAGCTTTGTATTTCCAAAGACATGTAAGTTAAGAGAGCTAAACTTGAAGCCATAAGATTATTCCACAAAACAAACATTTCTCCTTCTCTGTATTCTTCCGAACCAAACTACAGCCAAAAAACTTCTGATTTCAGGAAGAGTATCACATTCAAGTGCTAGCTTGAGGATATTTTCTGCCCTAAATAAACAGAATCTTTTTAAGCCTATTTTCACTCCCACAGGAACCATTCATTACTTTTGTTTCCTGTATTGGATCATCTCTTTTTTCTATGAGTTGACAACTACAGAATATTTTTCACAGACATGACTTCTTTTCTGTGTAACAACCTAATTTACCTCCATCTAATTCAGAAATTTCAATGGATGCAATAAATAATTAGTTCAAATCAAGTGTGAGAACAGTCAAAATGAGATACAAATTTATTGATTTTCATTTTTTTCTATGTCTGACAGAACAATGGAAAGCTAAAAGAAAAAAAAAAACATGCTACAGTCTCTTAAGTCAGCTTTTGGCCAACATAGTGCTACAATTATGAAACATTATCTGCTTGCATTCTCTTACTTTTATTTTTAAATAGAAGGCAATTCATCCAATAATTCTGAAAATTTTTAATGAAATGCAAGTAACCTACTTGTATATGCTAACTATTGCAAGTGTATAAATAAACACACATCAACATTCTATCTGTCCAAAGAAATTAGGGTCTTCCTTTCTACCCATTACTCAACTCAGAAGCACAAACAATTCCACAGGTAAAAAATTCTTTGTTATAGGAAACTGATACTGATACCTTGTATTTGGTAGGACAAACACACAGGTATATATCAAAATTATATATAAGTGGATGAGCAGGTCCTGTTTTCAGTGAGGACTCAGACATGGAAAATAATTTTAACAACATTTTATTCTCACAAAACTGGAATTCTTCAATTATTTCATTTTAGCATTCTTTCCACAAAACTGTTGAAACACTAGAACACCAGAGGCAGGAAAAACACCAGATACTTGTTACGTGTGATGGACTGAAATTTCTACTGACATTTTCTCTTAGGACTTGCAATTTGAGCACAATTTCTGAAGGACAAATCATTAACAGCTCTAATTTTCATGTTCCCAAGGGCACCACTAGGGCTCTTAGTCCCTGAGTTATGCAGCAGGAAGCCCTGTCTGCAGGAAGCCCTATGCCCAACCCCACGCCCAGCCTGGATCTGTGCCTCACTGGGTCCCTAGGTAGACCTTGGACCTGACTCCTCAGCCTGCCTTGCCTTACAATTATTAGGTGGTAGCAGACCACATTAGGTGTCCCCGTTCTCAGCCCACCCTGAATGGGGAGCCTCAGAAGTTCAGAGTCTTGCCCTGCCAGCTGCGCAGTGCCCACAGCTCCTCAACCTCTCCCAAGGACAGCCCCACTTCAGCTGCTCCCTGGCACTCAGAGTGGTCAGCCAGCAATGGGTCTCAAAATTCCTCCTCAAGCATCAATTTCCCTTCTGATTTTTGCTACCATCTATAAGAATGGAAATCAGCAGCAGGTGGTTGATTTTGAGTAGCATTCCTCTTGCTCTGTCCCATCCTGACTTTGGCACACTTTGCTGATCATGCAGCACAAATCAGATTTTCCCGTTACATCCAGCTGAGTATTTAATCTGTGCTTAGGGAGGAGCAACACATTCTCTGGACACCCACTCTGCAGAGGTTTGTAACGACATTCTAAGAAATGTGGAATGCAGCACTAAGAAAATTTACAAGATGGAAGGAAACACAGTGATCCAGATGATGAAAGATGGATAGAGAAAAAAAAATTCTAGGCAAACAGCAAACAAAAAAAAGAAGGAAACAAAAAAAAAGAAAATAAAATAGGAATGATAAATAAACAAGAGTGAACACAATTCCAGCAGGGAGAGAACCAAAAATGACAACATGAAGGAAATCCTCAGCTGATACAGCAGAGAGAATATGCAATTGCAAAAAATATGATGTACTAAATAGTATGGCTTTCTTGGCCACCTGGATACATGCTGGCTCATATCCAGCCAGCTTTCAAACAGCACCTCCAAGACCCCTTCAGATGAGCAGCTCTCAAGACACTGTTCCCCAAGCCTGGAGCATTGCACAGGGTTTTTGCAACCCAACTGCAGGACCTGACCCTTGGCCTTATCGATCCTCAGAGAACTGGTCTCAGTCAATCCAGCCTGTCAAGTTCCTTTTCAGAGCCTTCCTATGCTCCAGCAGATCAATACTCCCATCCAATTTAGTGTCATCTGTGAACTTACTGAGGATGCATGCAATCCCCTCATCCAAATCATCAATAGAAACATTAAACTGGCCCCAATACTGAGCCCCAGGGAACACCACTGCTGACCAGCTGCCAACTCAATTTAACTCCATTCAGCACCACTATCTGGGCCTGACTATCCTGCCAGTTTTTCACCCAGTGAAGATTGCATCAACCCAAGCCATGAACAGCCACCTTCCCCAGGAAAATGCTGTGGTAGACAGTATCCAGTGTTTTACTGCAGTCTGGATAAACAAAATCCACAGCTTTTCCCTCATCCACCAGGTGGATGGATCCAGGTTACTTTATGACACAGAGATCAAGTTAGTCAAATAGGATCTGCCTTTTGTAAACCCATTTGTGAGCATCATCTGGGTCTGATTCACTGGCTGATCTGCACACAGCGCATGATGGCACTTAGGATGATCTGTTCCTTGACTTTCCCCAGTACCAAGGACAGGCTGACAGGCCTGTAGTTCCCTGGATCATCCTTCTGACCCTGGCTGTGGATGGGCATTACATTTCCTAATTTTTTATCAACCTGACCTTCCCCATTTAAGCAGGACTGCTGGTAAGTGGTTTAAAGACGTCTGAGAAACTCTTTCACCAGCTTCCTCAGGTGTATCCCATCTGAACCCATAGACTTGTGTGTGTCTTATTTGCTATAAGTAGCAGGTCACTTGCCACTTCCTCCTGGACTAAAAGGGCTTTACTCAGCTCTCCATACTTCCCCAGCTTCCAGCTCTGGGAGCTGTGCATACTGAGGACAACTGGTTTTGCTATTATACTGAGGCAAAGAACCCAGACTGAGGCAAGGAAAGAAAAAATATCTTGTTTAGGCAAGAAAGTAGGCAGATAATATCACAATTAGACAGAAAGTATCACACCTTTCAGTTTATCAACATTACTAGAGGAATTACCATTTTCCTAAGGTTAGTTTCACATGTGAAATGTATACACACTCATACAGACACAGAAAATAATTTTCAGTGATATTGAGAGGTAAGGAAGAAGACATGCTGCCTATTAATTTGTGAATTGTGATGACTATGATATGATGTTAGATACATCATTGAAAATGTAGGAAGATGTAAATAAAGAGTCACAGATTTCAATTAGGGACTAATCTTAAATAGAAAACTGTAAACATTGTAGAAAAATTTTTAGATATATCAAAACTAGTTTAATGTTCAATTACATGTATACAGTCAGCTATTTAATATGCCTTTACATACTGAGTCTACAGGAAGACACGTACTTGTCACACCTTTATTTATTATCACTAATTGTGTTGTACTTTTTCCATATTTTTATTTACTGCTTGAAAAGTTAGAAAATTGCATACAAACTGCTTGCAAAAAATTCTTAGTTGGAAGTATCACTCACTCAAACAATCAAAAATAATCAATCCAAGTCAGAATATTCAGTTCAAAACAGCAACTTCTGGCAGCACACCACACAGAGAAGTCAAGGAAGATCTGAAATCAGATACGATCACATACGATGATTTTGTTATTGGTGGAGGAGTGTAATTTGAGGCTAATGAGACATTTATGGCCTTTGAAGAAAATGCAGATTGAAGTTAACATGGATGTGTGTCTGGAAATACTACTTGTTTATAAATCTGTGCCTCTTAGAGATGCTTAAATAGTCTAAGAATGAGGCCTTTAGGGCCAAACTGATGGTTTCCAGGAACTGCAGTCACCACTTTTTCAACCTGAGAAGTTTGTCAGTAGCTCAACACTTATTCTGTAACTACTAGGGAAATAGAAGACATGGCTTAGAAATCATCTTTACTCCAATGTAAAATAGAAAACTTCTATTTTAAAAAGTGACTTCAAGTTTTTTGATCCTCTTGTTCAGGTCATGACCAGTTACAAGAAAACTTGTATAAGCAGAAATATAAGTTATATGAATACAGGAAAATTAAGACTTCACAGACATCCTAGGGTTTCTCAGGCTTTATCTAATACAACTAGTGTAGAACAGTACACCTCAGCTTTCAGTCACTGACCATTTCTATTCTCTGGCCCCCCCTTCTGCTCGTATGCCCAGGGGGGTTAATACAAACATTGAATTAAACAGGCTTGGGGATTTTTTTAAAGAACATGTTTCATTTACCCTTCTATGAATTTCTCCAAGTGAGAAAAATAGGTTCAGATAGGCTTGGACAGTGTCAGTAGATCCCTCAGGTTAGAAACTACAATCACCATTTACTTTTCAGAAAATAGGCACACATTTCTTTCATATCATTGCTTCTTGCCTGGAGCTACCACTCTTATTCTGAATATCTAAATCTCATACATTATCAAAAAGAACAATGAGATTATAAGAAAAAGCTGTGTGGTTCCCTACAGTGTTTTTCAAAATGACAATTCGCTTAATAATGAAAACAATTTGAAAAGCAAGCAGAGGAAAAGAAAACACATGATCATTTCTCCTTTCCAAGCAAAATTAAAAAAAAAAAAGAAATTAACCTCAGCATTCTCAAAAAACAGCTGTTGCGATCTAATTATAAGAAGTGGTTGTTGAACAATCACAGATATGGTTTCCCTTATTTTATCTGTAT